CAGATATATTAGTAACATTAAGTAAAAATAATTTATTCTAAATTAATATTTATTAATTTCATATGTTAATTAAATAATTTTTTTCCTCCTCATAATATCTAAAACGTTACTGTTAAAAAAAGAGTAACTATTTTTATTTTTAAATATGTTGCCATCTATTTAAAAATTTTCATATGCGTATATTAAAAAATTATTTAGGAAATTCAACTCATTTATAGATAAAATCATTAATGTTAGATAATAAATATTTAAAAATTAGAATGTAAACATATATAAATATTTTTAATATTTAAAACTACCAATAATGTTGTAATAGAAATTTGGACAACCGAAAAAATTTATTATACTTTTTAGTGTTGGATATGGAAGACATTATAACCACAATATGTAGAAAAATATAAATGATGTTTTAAAACAATTTATAAACTTTTTTATTTTATTTTGTATAATTTGGTTGTGAAATATATTGTAAGCAAAATATGTAATAAAAATTTTACCCAAATTATATTCTCTGTGTTTGTAGATTATTATGGGATCTAGGGTAATAAATTTGTAAAAAAAAAACTAATTTTTAATCATGAGTTGCACAAATGTTTAATATTACTAATGATTTACTAATAAAAGTGATGTTATTTGCACGTATAAAAGTAAAAAAACATTATAGGATATGTTGTATAAAACTTGTATATTTAATATGATGTTAAATGTTTTTTTTTAATTGTCCCACTTTTAAAACTGTAGTATAATCATTTAAAATTGTCCCTACAAGAAGTTAATATTTGACAAAATAAATAATTAAATTAACAATAATTGCAAATTTTGTATATTAACTACGTGATCGATTAAAAAAACATAAAATTAAGTGCAAAGCATTAAACTAAAAGATACAATTTTTATATTCTCTGATTTTGTAATTCAATTTTTTCCTTTGGCTTAAATGAACATAATGTTCTAATTTAACTCTCCAAGTCAATAAATAGGCCACTGCAAAATGCTTATTTCAAAATTTAAAAACAAAATGGCATTCTACAAGACTCTTCTTTTAACATTTTTGATCATTTTCATTGCTTCAGACATCGTTGCCGGTAATAAATTATACCTATAACTCAATTTTCATTACTTCATTTGCTTTGTTTTTAGTAAAATAACTAGGATGGTAGGATAATGTCATCTATATTAAAAGGCATGTGTTTTTGCAAAAGGAAATTTAGTTTTATGAAATAGAATACACGATTCTTGAAAAGTTATAATTTCACAGTTTCATATATTGTTCCTAATGAAAGTTTAATTATTGTTTCAGGAGAAATCGAATCCGATCAAAAATTGTGCTTTGCATCAAATTTTTGTCCAACAACGCCAGAACGGTGTGACCAATTTTGTAAACAAATTGGCCACCCTAGTGGGGGCTCATGTTTAGAAGGGAAGGGTGAATGTTGTTGCAACTTGCAATTTCGGAAATTTTAATATAAAATGAATAATTTCTTCATATTTTGAATAAATTTAGCTACAAACAGAGTGTCTTTAATTTTCATGAAAAGAGCTGAACAATAAAAAATGTAATTTCCTATTAAATATTTATTACAATAATTTTTACTTAATAGTTGCATTGAAAAAAAAGTTATATTTAATTATTGTATTTAAATATTCTTTAATTAATAGTTGTCATCAGTTTTGTAATTATATCTACCTAACAAAATCACAAAAATAACTTCACCAGGTTATAAAAAAAATCTACCATTAACTTTAATTAACAAAATATTTCTACTCCTTTAAAGAAAAAGACTTGATATTTTGTTATTATTAAGACAGCTAATATACAATATAAAATTATTTAAGATGTCAAATTTATTATTCTTTAAAAAATCGTACCAAAATATTTTTTATCCCCCGTAAGTGGTTTTTTTTACCAATATTTAAATAAAAAAGTAAGGGATGTCCATTATTTTCATAAATATTATAACTAAAAGCTAATATCGTGGCTTATATTATAATATAATATCATCAAATGATTTCTACAAATATTTTAAAAATAATTTGTTTTTAGTTAATATGTTACTATTTCACTTGTATATTAGACTAACGTTTTTGTTAAAGAGTAAATTAGTATATATAGGGTTAAAACTTAAGTATTGCCCAATATTTTTATCAAAATAACACTTCAATTCTAATGTTGTGGCTTCATTTATAAGTTAATTAAAAAATAAAAATAAAATATATTCCAAATTAATATATATTTATTTCATATGTTAATTGTACGGTTGTTTTAATCCTCATAGTATCAAACACATTAATATTAAAATAATAGAGACACTCTTGGATTATAAATATGTTTCCATATATTTAAGATTTTACATAGTGGTGCAAAAAAACTTATTTAGAAAATATAATACATTTTTTATGAAATCATTAAAGTTTTTAAAAATTAGTTATAAATAAATTGAAAAAAAAATAAAAATATAGTAAATCACCAAGAATGTGGTATTACACATTAGGACAACTCAAAAAAAATTTATTTAAAATGTTTTACGTAGAATATGGAAGACATTATTATAACCATTAAAATATAATTAATATTTTAGGAAAATTCCTAAAATATCTGTATTTGTAGATTAATTATGGGATCTATCGGAAGAAATTTTGAAAATAAATTTAGTTTATAAAAACAAACAAAAAAAAATTATGATATTTTTTAATCAAGAGTTGGGAAAATGTTTAATATTATATTTGTAACAAAAAGAGGTGTTAATTGAACATATAAAACTTGACATTTAATTGGATAAGTCGTATAACATTTGTATATTTATATTAAAATAATTCATTTGATCAAAAAATGATTAAATCAATAATAATAAAAATAATTTATTTCAAATTAAAATTTTTTTATTTCATCTATAAAATAGTCTTATGTTCGCTTCTTCTTAATATTAAACATGCTAACATTGAAATAAACCAATAATGGGCTGGCTGAAGTGTAATGTTGATGCGCATTTTAATAATAACAATGGCACTACGAATAGTGAGTGGTGAGTGTGTAATCGTTCTGGGAACTTTATTTCTGCAGGTTTTGCGTGGGATCCAAGAATTCTTTCCGTCATTGAAGCCGAAGCCTTAGCACTGAAAGATGCAATTCTCAGAGCTATGTCTTCGCACTTGGAGCTTGTTACATTTGAAAGAGATTCCCAATGAGTTATTCAAGCAATGCATTTTAATCGTAATGGCGACTCTGAATTTAGTATTATTAGTGAGTCTATTTCTAGTTTAGTTGTTAATTTTCCAAGCTTTGTGGTGAATTTTGTCAAGTGTCAAGCAAATATGGTTGTTCACTCTATTGCGAGTGCAATCAATTCTTGGGCTCGACGTAGTTAATGATTATTGATTCCTCGTTGTACTGAATATTATTTAAAAAATTAAATGCATTGATCTTGTTGTGATATAAAAAGAGGATTATACATTTGAAAAATGTTGCCAAGTAAATAAAATTTCCACAATGGCACAACAAAACTTAATTTAAGCAAAACAATTCATTGATATATGAAATAATTATTTTAGGGGAGTAATTCAAAATTGAATCTTAAATAAACAAATTAATATTTACTATTTGAAAATACTCTACTCTACAAATCGTGATCTTTATGGGATTAAGAAAAGTGGTTTTTTAAAAACACAAATAATTTGATTTTTCTTTCTTTCGCGCTCTGGTTCTATTATCTCAGATATTGTGAACTGATTTGATTTTAAATTAAGAGTTTATGTTAGGAAAATATATTCTTGAAAATATTTTTTTTTAATAAATTGCATTTAGTATTCCCTAATAAACCTTATAAACGTACAGAGTGATTTTTGTAAGCCTTTTAGTATAATTTTTTTTTGTTTTTACCGATGTTTATTAAATAGATAGAAACTCAAGTGTTGCCCAATTTTTTTTAATCAAAATACAAATTTAAAAGCTAATATTGTGGTTTAAGTTACAAGAAAATCTTAACAGATATATTAGTAACATTAAGTAAAAATAATTTATTCTAAATTAATATTTATTAATTTCATATGTTAATTAAATAATTTTTTTCCTCCTCATAATATCTAAAACGTTACTGTTAAAAAAAGAGTAACTATTTTTATTTTTAAATATGTTTCCATCTATTTAAAAATTTTCATATGCGTATATTAAAAAATTATTTAGGAAATTCAACTCATTTATAGATAAAATCATTAATGTTAGATAAAAAATATTTAAAAATTAGAATGTAAACATATATAAATATTTTTAATATTTAAAACTACCAATAATGTTGTAATAGAAATTTGGACAACCGAAAAAATTTATTATACTTTTTAGTGTTGGATATGGAAGACATTATAACCACAATATGTAGAAAAATATAAATGATGTTTTAAAACAATTTATAAACTTTTTTATTTTATTTTGTATAATTTGGTTGTGAAATATATTGTAAGCAAAATATGTAATAAAAATTTTACCCAAATTATATTCTCTGTGTTTGTAGATTATTATGGGATCTAGGGTAATAAATTTGTAAAAAAAAAACTAATTTTTAATCATGAGTTGCACAAATGTTTAATATTACTAATGATTTACTAATAAAAGTGATGTTATTTGCACGTATAAAAGTAAAAAAACATTATAGGATATGTTGTATAAAACTTGTATATTTAATATGATGTTAAATGTTTTTTTTTAATTGTCCCACTTTTAAAATTGTAGTATAATCATTTAAAATTGTCGCTACAAGAAGTTAATATTTGACAAAATAAATAATTAAATTAACAATAATTGCAAATTTTGTATATTAACTACGTGATCGATTAAAAAAACATAAAATTAAGTGCAAAGCATTAAACTAAAAGATACAATTTTTATATTCTCTGATTTTGTAATTCAATTTTTTCCTTTGGCTTAAATGAACATAATGTTCTAATTTAACTCTCCAAGTCAATAAATAGGCCACTGCAAAATGCTTATTTCAAAATTTAAAAACAAAATGGCATTCTACAAGACTCTTCTTTTAACATTTTTGATCATTTTCATTGCTTCAGACATCGTTGTCGGTAATAAATTATACCTATAACTCAATTTTCATTACTTCATTTGCTTTGTTTTTAGTAAAATAACTAGGATGGTAGGATAATGTCATCTATATTAAAAGGCATGTGTTTTTGCAAAAGGAAATTTAGTTTTATGAAATAGAATACACGATTCTTGAAAAGTTATAATTTCACAGTTTCATATATTGTTCCTAATGAAAGTTTAATTATTGTTTCAGGAGAAATCGAATCCGATCAAAAATTGTGCTTTGCATCAAATTTTTGTCCAACAACGCCAGAACGGTGTGACCAATTTTGTAAACAAATTGGCCACCCTAGTGGGGGCTCATGTTTAGAAGGGAAGGGTGAATGTTGTTGCAACTTGCAATTTCGGAAATTTTAATATAAAATGAATAATTTCTTCATATTTTGAATAAATTTAGCTACAAACAGAGTGTCTTTAATTTTCATGAAAAGAGCTGAACAATAAAAAATGTAATTTCCTATTAAATATTTATTACAATAATTTTTACTTAATAGTTGCATTGAAAAAAAAGTTATATTTAATTATTGTATTTAAATATTCTTTAATTAATAGTTGTCATCAGTTTTGTAATTATATCTACCTAACAAAATCACAAAAATAACTTCACCAGGTTATAAAAAAAATCTACCATTAACTTCAATTAACAAAATATTTCTACTCCTTTAAAGAAAAAGACTTGATATTTTGTTATTATTAAGACAGTTAATATACAATATAAAATTATTTAAGATGTCAAATTTATTATTCTTTAAAAAATCGTACCAAAATATTTTTTATCCCCCGTAAGTGGTTTTTTTACCAATATTTAAATAAAAAAGTAAGGGATGTCCATTATTTTCATAAATATTATAACTAAAAGCTAATATCGTGGCTTATATTATAATATAATATCATCAAATGATTTCTACAAATATTTTAAAAATAATTTGTTTTTAGTTAATATGTAACTATTTCACTTGTATATTAGACTAACGTTTTTGTTAAAGAGTAAATTAGTATATATAGGGTTAAAACTTAAGTATTGCCCAATATTTTTATCAAAATAACACTTCAATTCTAATGTTGTGGCTTCATTTATAAGTTAATTAAAAAATAAAAATAAAATATATTCCAAATTAATATATATTTATTTCATATGTTAATTGTACGGTTGTTTTAATCCTCATAGTATCAAACACATTAATATTAAAATAATAGAGACACTCTTGGATTATAAATATGTTTCCATATATTTAAGATTTTACATAGTGGTGCAAAAAAACTTATTTAGAAAATATAATACATTTTTTATGAAATCATTAAAGTTTTTAAAAATTAGTTATAAATAAATTGAAAAAAAAATAAAAATATAGTAAATCACCAAGAATGTGGTATTACACATTAGGACAACTCAAAAAAAATTTATTTAAAATGTTTTACGTAGAATATGGAAGACATTATTATAACCATTAAAATATAATTAATATTTTAGGAAAATTCCTAAAATATCTGTATTTGTAGATTAATTATGGGATCTATCGGAAGAAATTTTGAAAATAAATTTAGTTTATAAAAACAAACAAAAAAAAATTATGATATTTTTTAATCAAGAGTTGGGAAAATGTTTAATATTATATTTGTAACAAAAAGAGGTGTTAATTGAACATATAAAACTTGACATTTAATTGGATAAGTCGTATAACATTTGTATATTTATATTAAAATAATTCATTTGATCAAAAAATGATTAAATCAATAATAATAAAAATAATTTATTTCAAATTAAAATTTTTTTATTTCATCTATAAAATAGTCTTATGTTCGCTTCTTCTTAATATTAAACATGCTAACATTGAAATAAACCAATAATGGGCTGGCTGAAGTGTAATGTTGATGCGCATTTTAATAATAACAATGGCACTACGAATAGTGAGTGGTGAGTGTGTAATCGTTCTGGGAACTTTATTTCTGCAGGTTTTGCGTGGGATCCAAGAATTCTTTCCGTCATTGAAGCCGAAGCCTTAGCACTGAAAGATGCAATTCTCAGAGCTATGTCTTCGCACTTGGAGCTTGTTACATTTGAAAGAGATTCCCAATGAGTTATTCAAGCAATGCATTTTAATCGTAATGGCGACTCTGAATTTAGTATTATTAGTGAGTCTATTTCTAGTTTAGTTGTTAATTTTCCAAGCTTTGTGGTGAATTTTGTCAAGTGTCAAGCAAATATGGTTGTTCACTCTATTGCGAGTGCAATCAATTCTTGGGCTCGACGTAGTTAATGATTATTGATTCCTCGTTGTACTGAATATTATTTAAAAAATTAAATGCATTGATCTTGTTGTGATATAAAAAGAGGATTATACATTTGAAAAATGTTGCCAAGTAAATAAAATTTCCACAATGGCACAACAAAACTTAATTTAAGCAAAACAATTCATTGATATATGAAATAATTATTTTAGGGGAGTAATTCAAAATTGAATCTTAAATAAACAAATTAATATTTACTATTTGAAAATACTCTACTCTACAAATCGTGATCTTTATGGGATTAAGAAAAGTGGTTTTTTAAAAACACAAATAATTTGATTTTTCTTTCTTTCGCGCTCTGGTTCCTTGGGGAATGGGGCTCTATTATCTCAGAGATTGTGAACTGATTTAATTTTAAACTAATTGTTTATATTAGGAAATTACATTCTTGAAATTTTTTTATTTAATAAATTGCATTTATTATTCCCTAATAAACCTTATAAACGTAAAGAGTGATTTTTTTAAGAATTTTAGTTTTTTTTTGTTTTAACCGATGTTTATAAAATAGATAGAAACTCAAGTGTTGCCCAATTTTTTAAAATCAAAATATAAATTTAAAAGCTAATATTGTGGTTTAAGTTACAAGAAAATCTCGACAAATATATTAGTAACATTAAGTAAAAATAATTTATTTCAAATTAATATTTATTAATTTCATATGTTAATTAAATAATTTTTTTCCTCCTCATAATATCTAAAACGTTACTGTTAAAAAAAGAGTGACTATTTTGATTTTGAAATATGTTTCCATCTATTTAAATTTTTTCATATGGGTATATCAAAAAATTATTTAGGAAATACAACTAATTTATAGATAAAATCATTAATGTTTTATAATAAATATTTAAAAATTATAATGTAAATATATAAAAATATTTTAAATAGTTAAAACTATCAATACTGTTGTAATAGACATTTGGACAACCGAAAAAATTTAATTATACTTTTTAGTGTTGGATATGGAAGACATTATAACCACAGTATGTAGAAAAATAATGATGATGTTTTAAAACAATTTATAAACTTTTTTATTTTATTTTGTATAATTTGGTTGTGAAATATATTGTAGCCAAAATATGTAATAAAATTTTTACACAAATTATATTCTCTGTATTTGTATATTATTATGGGATCTACGGTAATAAATTTGTAAAAAAGAAAACTAATTTTTAATCACGAGTTACACAAATGTTTAATATTACCAATGATTTTCTAATAAAAGTGATGTTATTTGAACGTATAAAAGTAAAAAAAATTTATAGGATATGTTGTATAAAACTTGTATATTTAATATGGTGTTAAATATGTTTTTTTTTTAATTATCCCATTACTAAAATGATAATATAATCTTTTAAAATTGTCCCTACAAGAAGTTAATATTTGACAAAATAAATAATTAAATTACTAATATTTGTAAATTTTGTATATTAACTACGTGATCGTTAAAAAAGCATAAAATTAAGTGAAAAGCATTGAACTAAAAGATACAATTTTTAAATTCTCTGATTTCGTAATTCAATTTTTTCCTCTTGCTTACATGAACCTAATGTTCTAATTTAACTCTCCAAGTCAATAAATAGGCCATTGCAAAATGCTTATTTCAAAATTTAAAAACAAAATAGCATTCTACAATAATCTTCTTTTAACATTTTTGATCATTTTCATTGCTTCAGGCATCGTTGCCGGTAATAAATTATACCTATAACTCAATTTTCATTACTTCATTTGTTTTTTTTTGTTTTGAGTAAAATCACTAGGATGGTAGGATAATGTCTTCTATATTAAAAGACATGTGTTTTTGCAAAAGAAAAATTAGTTTTATGAAATAGAATACAGGATTTTTGAAAAGTTAGAATTTCACAATTTCATATATTGTTCTTAATGAAAGTTTAATTATTGTTTCATGAGAAATCAAATACGATTAAAAATTGTGCTTTGTATCAAATTTTTGTCCAACAATGCCAGAACGGTGTGACCAATTTTGTAAGCAAATTGGCCACCCTAGTGGAGGCTCATGTTTAGAAGGGAAAGGTGAATGTTGTTGCTACTTGCAATTTCGGAAATTTTAATATAAAATAAATAATGTCTTCATATTTTGAATAAATTTAGCTACAAACAGAGTATCTTTAATTTTTATGAAAAAAGTTGAACAATAAAAAATGTAATTTCTTATTAAATATTTATTTCAATAATTTTTACTTAATAGTTGCAATGAAAAACAAGTTATATTTAATTATTGTAATTAAATATTCTTTAATCAATAGTTGTCATCAGTTTTGTAATTATATTTACCTAACAAACTGATAAAAATAACTTCACCAGGTTATAAAAAAGATATACCATTAACTTTAATTAACAAAATATTTCTACTCTTTTAATGAAAAAGACTTGATATTTTGTTATTATTAAGACATTTAATATACAATATAAAATTATTTAAGATGTGAAATTTATTATTCTTTAAAAAATCGTACCAAATTTTTTTTATCCTGTAAGTGGTTTTTTGTACCAATATTTAAATAAAAAAGTAAGGGATTACCATTATTTTCATGAAAATAATAACTAAAAGCTAATATCGTGGCTCATATTATAATATAATATTATCAAATGATTTTAACAAATATTATAAAAATAATTTATTTTTAGTTAATATGTAACTATTTCACTTGTATATTAGACTAATGTTTTTGTTAAAGAGTAAATTATTATTTATAGGACCAAAACTTAAGTACTGCCCAATATTTTTATCAAAATAACATTTCAATTCTAAAGTTGTGCCTTCATTTACAAGTTAATTAAAAAATAAAGATAAAATATATTCCAAATTAATATATATTTATTTCATATGTTAATTGGACGGTTGTTTTAATCCTGATAGTATCAAACACATTAATATTAAAATAAGAGAGACTATCTTGGATTATAAATATGGTTCCATATATTTAAGATTTTACATAGTGGTGCAAAAAAAAACTTATTTAGAAAATATAATACATTTTTTTTATGAAATCATTAAAGTTTTAAAAAATTAGTTATAAATTAATTGAAAAAAAATAAAAATAGAGTAAATTACCAAGAATGTTGTATTACACATTAGGACAACTCAAAAACAATTTATTTAAAATGTTTTATGTAGAATATAGAAGACATTATTATAAACATTAAAATATAAACAATATTTTAGGACCATTCCTAAAATATCTTTATTTGTAGATGAATTATGGGATCTATCGGAAGAAATTTTAAAAATGAATTTAGTTTATAAAAGCAAACGGAAAAAAATTATGATATTTTTTAATCAAGAGTTTGGAAAATGTTTAATATTATCTTTATAAAAAAGAGAGGTCTTAATTGAACATATAAAAGTTGAGATTTAATTGGATAAGTCGTATAACATTTGTATATTTATATTAAAATAATTCATTTGATCAACAAATCATTAAATCAATAATAATAAAAAAAAATTCTTTCAAATTAATATTTTTTATTTCATCTATAATGTAGTCTTATGTTCGCTTCCTCTTAATATTAAACATATTAACATTGAAATAAATCACTAATGGGCTGACTGAAGTGTAATGTTGATGCGTCTTTTAATAACAACAATAGCACTACGAATAGTGAGTGGTGCATGTGTAATCGTTCTGGGAACTTTATTTCTGCAGGTTTTGCGTGGGATCCAAGAATTCTTCCCGTCATTGAAGCCGAAGCCTTAGCACTTAAGGATGCAATTCTCAGAGCTATGTCTTCGCACTTGGAGTTTGTTACATTTGAAAGTGATTCCCAAAGATTTATTAAAGCAATCCATTATAATCGTAATGGTGACTCTGAATTTAGTCTTATTATTGAGCCTATTTCTAGTTTATTTGTTAATTTTCTAAGCTTTGAGGTGAATTTAGTCAAATGTCAAGCAAATATGATTGCTCACTCTATTGCAAGTGCAACCAATTCTTGGGCTCGACGTAGTTAATGATTATTGATTCCTCGTTGTACTGAATATTATTTAATAAATTAAATGCATTGATCTTGTTGTGATATAAAAAGAGAGGATTATACATTTGAAATATGTTGCCAAGTAAATAAAATTTCCACAATGGCACCACAAAACTTAATTTAAGCAAAACAATTCATTGATATATGAAATAATTATTTTTTGCAAATAATACAAAATTGAATCGTAAATAAACAAATTAATATTTATTAGTTTAAAAATACTTTACTCTATAGATCGTGGTCTTTATGGGATTAAGAAAAGTGATTTTTTAAAAACACAAATAATTTGATTTTTCTTTCTTTCGCGCTCTGGTTTCTTGGGCAATGGGACTCTATTATCTCAGAGATTTTGAATTGATTTGATTTTAAACTAATTGTTTATGTTAGGACATTACATTCTTGAAATTTTTTTTTAATAAATTGCATTTATTATTCCCTACTAAACCTTTTTAACGCAGAGTGATATTTTTAAGCCTTTTAGTATTAATTTTTTTTTGTTTTTACCGATGTTTATAAAATAGATAGAAACTCAAGTGTTGCCCAATTTTTTTTAATCAAAATATATAATTTATAAGCTAATATTGTGGTTTAAGTTACAAGAAAATCCCAAAAATATATTAGTAACATTAAGTAAAAATCATTTATTCCAAATTAACATTTATTAATTTCATATGTTAATTAAATAATTTTTTTCCTCCTCATAATATCTAAAACAATGTTTTAAAACCCAGTCTGACCCGGCCGGTCGGATCGGTCTGACCGAGAACCGGTGGGCCAGACGGTTCGTTTAAGGGATAAGACCGGAATTACATTTAGACCGGATGAAACCGGTGTGAACCGGCGGTTTTTACTGAATCGGCGGGTTTGACTATTTATTTTATTTTTTAGGGCTTTTGAAAAAAAAATTAACATAAACGCTTTGCCTCGTCGTTTCACAAACCTAGACATTTGAAAGTTTTTCTTTTTTATTCTGTCTTTTCTTTTTCTAATTGAAGTCATATTCTCAATTTTCTCTACCAACAAAAACTCCCACTTGCTGCTGTTATTTGATATTCCTTGTTTGCCGTCAAAAATTTCATCAAAACATCAAAAATAGGTTATTTCTTTTTTACTTGGTCTAATTTGCATTGATGTTTTTCAATATGAATATTATTGTTTCATTTTGTTGATTAATTGATATAGAAAATAAATGATTAAATTTGATCATTTTCTATAAAATTGGGTCTTTTAGTTTAATAAATTGAGATAGAATTTGTATGAATGAAGCAGTTTTATACTTTTATGAATTAACTTATTATAGACTGGTAATAAAGTTGTTGTATATTGGAGATAGAAATTGGGATAGATATATATTACTGTAATAGTCGTTGTATATATTATGGAGATAGAAATTGGGTTAAAACCATGTAATCTAAATTATATAGTAAGACAAAGTTTTCTGTTTTTTATTAATTTAAATTATATAACAAAGAAAAGTTTTAGGATTTTATTAATCTAAAATATATAGCAAAGGCTGGAAAGCAAAATTTCTATTTTTTTATTATATATGGTGATGCACAGTAATGATACTTGGTAGCCTATATGTAATATACAACAACATATTCATATATTTTGGATTTAGATATGCTACATATTTAATGTTTCTTATAATGTTTTTATAAATTCAATAATTGTAGTTTAGAATTATGTTTTGTTAATATTTTTGTAATATAGTTTTTTATTTTTAAATTTTGATTGATATTAGATATGGCATCACCCACTGAAGTAATAACTTCGGAAGAAGTTACATCTCAAAATCCAACCCAAATCTAGAGCAGTAGGGGAAAAACTGATATAGCTTGGGGTCATTGTAAACAAATTGAAGAAAAATGAAAACTTGTTAATTTGTGTATTTACTATGATAAAATTATTAGAGGAGGGTGGATTAATAGGCTTAAATTCCATTTGGCTGGAATAAAAGGTCAAGTTGTAACATGTAAAAAGGTGCCTCCATATGTTCAATATCAAATGAAACAAAATCTTGATGAAGGTGCATTTAAGAGAAGAAAGACTCAAGCACAAAATTTTGATGTTGATCTTACTACTCAAGAGGGTGGTGTAGTAGAAATGGATGTAGAACAATCAAGATCAAATTCAGTGATTGTGTCTCAAAAGAGAAAGAATACTAGTCGTATTGGTAATTATTTTATGCCTAGAACAACTCCTGGAGCTCAACCTTCTATAAAAGTGTGTTACAAAGTAAGGAATTGGTGGAGAAGCGTGATCTACCTATTGCAAGATGGTTCATTGATTCATCTGTGCCATTCAATGCAGCTAATTCTGCGTATTTTCAATCTATGGCTGATGCACTTTGCAGCATGAGTCTGGGGTATAAAGTTCCAACTATGCATAGTGTTCGTGGCTATTTGTTAAATAAATGGGTTGAAGATGTGAACAACTTGATAGAGGAGTATCGTTAGATTTGGAAGAAAACTGGTTGTACTCTAATAGCCGATGGATGGACTAATCAAAAAAGAAGAACTCTTATAAACTTTCTAGTTTATTGTCCCAAAGGTACTATTTTTCTAAAATTCGTTGATGCTTCTCATGCTTCAAAAACTGCAAATATGTTGTATAAGTTTTTTAGAGAAGTGGTTTTATTTGTTGGGCCTGAAAATGTAGTTCACATAATGACAGATAATGCTGCAAATTATGTTGCTGCTGGAAGGTTATTACAAATGAGTTTCATACTTTATTTTGGTCTCCTTGTGTGGCACATTGCATTAACTTGATGTTGCAAGACATGGGAAAATTAGAGGAAGTAAGTGAGACAGTGTCACATGCTTCTAATGTTACCAAATATATTTATAACCATTGTTATGTATTGTATTTAATGAGAAAGCAAACAGGTGGAAGAGAAATCCTTCGTCTTGCTCCAACTCGGTTTGCCACTAATTTCATTGCCATGCAAAGTATTTTGTCTCACAAAAACTCACTAAGAGCCATGGTAACATCTAAAGAATGGACAAGCTCAGCATATGCCAAAGAAGCAAAGGCAAAACAGTTTGTGGATCAAGTTTTAGATTCTAGATTTTGGAGTAAATGTGATGATGTAGTTAAAATCACTGAATCACTTGTGTGTGTGTTGCGTATTGTTGATAGTGAAGATAAACCTGCTATGGGAATTCTATACAAATCTATAGTCAAAGCTAGAAAGGATATGGTGAGGAGGTTTCAAAGAAATAAGAAGAAAGTGGATCCTTACTTGAAAATCTTAGATAAACGTTGGGATTCACAGTTCCGCAAAAATCTTCATGCTGTCGGTTATTGGTTGAATCCAGCTTGTAGATATAATGATGTAGAATTTGAAAAACATTCATCCACAACATCAGGACTTTTAGATGTCATTGAAAAGCATGCTAATTGAAATTCTGAAATTCGATTGAAGTTAACAGATGAGATGAGAATATTCAAAGACGGTGAATTATATTTTGGAAGGAAATCAGCCGTGGATGAACGATGTATTGTGAGGGAAGGTAATTTCATAACTTCTAACTCTTGATATATATTTTATTTTATAATTCAATATGTTTATAAATTTATTTAATCACATGGTATAAATAGATCAATAGTGGGAAACTTATGGCAATTGTACACCAACTTTGCAAAGGTTAGCTATTCGTATTTTAAGCCAAACTTGTAGTGCTTCGGGTTGTGAATACAATTGGAGTATATTTGAGCATATTCATTCCAAAAAAATAAATAGATTGGAGCATGAAAAGCTTAATGATTTAGTGTTTGTTTGTTACAACTTGAGACTTCAAAATAGGTATTATTATGGTTATTTTTCTATGATCATTATATATTTATATTTAAATACATATACTTAGATTTAATTCATGTGTGCTTAGGAAAATAAGAAATGGGAGTTATGATCCTATCAATATTGAAACAATTGTCGACCATTCTAGTTGGATATTAGAGGATTCACCACCTCTCTTAACCAATGAAGAGTTGGAAGCATTGCATAATGATCTTGCAAATATGACCATCCAACCAATTTCAAGTGATATTGGTATGTTCTAATATGAGCATAATATAGGTTGTGGTTGTGAATCAATTTAATGTCTCATATTTACCATCTCTAAATTTTTTTTGTTAATTATTTTTTAAAATATTGTTATAGATCAAATAGATTTAGATGAGGATGAAGATGGAGATATGGGTAATAAGATATTATTGTTGATACTGTGAATCAAGAAAAAAGCAACACCAGAGAAGATGAAGTTGGTGGAGAAGATGAAGTTGAAGATGGATATGAATATCAAGATTATGACAATTTGACTTCATGGACATAAAAAATTATGGATCGTTGAGTATGGATTTTTGTGACTTATTATAATACTATAACCTATGAATTATTAAGTTTCTATCACTTCTTTGAATTTATAATTTTCTACATTAAGTTTCTATCACTTATTTTGATTGTTACTAATACTTTTGTTTATTCTAAATTATTTGAATTTATAATTTTCTATATTTTTATAGTTACAAATTTCAGGTAATAAATATATTTTTTATAGAAACTAGGTCAAAAGCCATGTGGTCTGACCAGTGACCCACTGTTCCGACCAGTAACCAAATGACCCAGTTACTTTACCGACTCGATCACCGATCTGAGTTTTAAAACATTGATCTAAAATGTTACTGTTAAAAAAGAGTGACTATTTTGATTTTGAAATATGTTTCCATCTATTTAAATTTTTTCATATGGGTATATAAAAAAATTATTTAGGAAATACAACTCATTTATAGATAAAATAATTAATGTTTTATAATAAATATTTAAAAATTATAATGTAAATATATAAAAATATTTTAAGTAGTTAAAACTACCAATAGTGTTGTAATAGACATTTGGACAACCGAAAAAATTTAATTATACTTTTTAGTGAGTGTTGGATATGGAAGACATTATAACCACAATATGTAGAAAAATATAGATGATGTTTTAAAACAATTTATAAACTTTTTAAATTTATTTTGTATAATTTGATTGTGAAATATATTATAGCCAAAATATGTAATAAAATTTTTACGCAAATTATATTCTCTGAATTTGTATATTATTATGGGATCTACGGTAATAAATTTGTAAAAAAAAAAACTAATTTTTAATCATGAGTTGCACAAATGTTTAATATTACCAATGATTTACTAATAAAAGTGATGTTATTTGAACGTATAAAAGTAAAAAAAATTTATAAGATATGTTGTATAAAACTTGTATATTTAATATGGTGTTAAAGTATTTTTTTTTAATTGTCCCACTATTAAAATGGTAATATAATCATTTAAAATTGTCCCTACAAGAAGTTAATATTTGACAAAATAAATAATTAAATTAATAATATTTGTAAATTTTGTATATTAACTACGTGATCGGTTAAAAAAGCATAAAATTAAGTGAAAAGCATTAAACTAAAAGATACAAGTTTTAAATTCTCTGATTTCGTAATTCAAATTTTTCCTTTTGCTTTCATGAACCTAATGTTCTAATATAACTCTCCAAGTCAATAAATAGGCCATTGCAAAATGCTTATTTCAAAATTTAAAAACAAAATGGCATTCTACAAGAATCTTCTTTTAACATTTTTGATCATTTTCATTGCTTTAGGCATTGTTGCCGGTAATAAACTATACCTATAACTCAATTTTCATTACTTCATTTGCTTTGTTTTTAGTAAAATCAATAGGATGGTAGGATAATGTCTTCTATATGAAAAGGCATGTGTTTTTGCAAAATAAAAATTAGTTTTATGAAATAGAATACAGGATTTTTGAAAAGTTAGAATTTCACAATTTCATATATTGTTCTTAATGAAAGTTTAATTATTGTTTCAGGAGAAATCGAATCCGATCAAAAATTGTGCTTTGCATCAAATTTTGTACAACAACGTCAGAACGGTGTGACCAATTTTGTAAGAAAATTGGCCACCCTAGTGGAGGCTCATGTTTAGAAGGGAAGGGTTAATGTTGTTGTAACTTGCAATTTCGGAAGTTTTAATATAAAATAAATAATTTCTTCATATTTTGAATAAATTTAGCTGCAAACAGAGTGTCTTTAATTTTTATGAAAAAAGTAGAACAATCAAAAATGTAATTTCTTATTAAATATATATTTCAATAATTTTTACTTAATAATTGCAATGAAAAACAAGTTATATTTAATTATTGTATTTAAATATTCTTTAATCAATAGTTGTCATCAGTTTTGTAATTATATTTACCTAACAAACTGACAAAAATAACTTCACCATGTTATAAAAAAGATATACCATTAACTTTAATTAACAAAATATTTCTACTCCTTTAATGAAAAAGACGTGATATTTAGTTATTATTAAGACAGTTAATAGATCGTGATCTTTATGGCATTAAGAAAAGTGGTTTTTTAAAAACACAAATAATTTGATTTTTCTTTCTTTCGCGCTCTGGTTCTATTATCTCAGAGATTGTGAACTGATTTGATTTAAAATTAATTGTTTTTGTTAGGAAAATACATTCTTCAATTTTTTTTTTAATAAATTGCATTTAGTATTCCCTAATAAACCTTATAAACGTACAGAGTGATTTTTGTAAGCCTTTTAGTATAGTTTTTTTTTTTGTTTTTACCGATGTTTATAAAGTAGATACAAACTCAAGTGTTGCCCAATTTTTTAAATCAAAATACAAATTTAAAAGCTAATATTGTGGTTTAAGTTACAAGAAAATCTCAACAGATATATTAGTAACATTAAGTAAAAATAATTTATTCTAAATTAATATTTATTAATTTCATATGTTAATTAAATAATTTTTTTCCTCCTCATAATATCTAAAATGTTACTCTTAAAAAAAGAGTAACTATTTTTATTTTGAAATATGTTTCCATCTATTTAAAAATTTTCATATGCGTATATCAAAAAATTATTTAGGAAATTCAACTCATTTATAGATAAAATCATTATTGTTATATAATAAATATTTAAAAATTAGAATGTAAACATATATAATATTTTTAAAAGTTAAAACTACCAATAGTGTTGTAATAGAAATTTGGACAACCGAAAAAGTTTAATTATACTTTTTAGTGTTGGATATGGAAGACATTATAAGCACAATATGTAGAAAAATACAAATGATGTTTTAAAACAATTTATAAACTTTTTTATTTTATTTTGTATAATTTGGTTGTGAAATATATTGTAGCCAAAATATGTCATAGAAATTTTACCCAAATTATATTCTCTGTGTTTGTAGATTATTATGGGATCTAGGGTAATAAATTTGTAAAAAAAAAAACTAATTTTTAATCATGAGTCGCACAAATGTTTAATATTACTAATGATTTACTAATAAAAGTGATGTTATTTGCACGTATAAAATTAAAAAAAAACATTATAGGATATGTTGTATAAAACTTGTATATTTAATATGGTGTTAAATGTGTTTTTTTTAATTGTCCCACTATTAAAATTATAATATAATCATTTAAAATTGTCCCTACAAGAAGTTAATATTTGACAAAATAAATAATTAAATTAAAAATAATTATAAATTTTGTATATTAACTACGTGATCGGTTAAAAAAACATAAAATTAAGTGCAAAACATTAAACTAAAAGATACAATTTTTATATTCTCTGATTTTGTAATTCAATTTTTTCCTTTTGCTTAAATGAACCTAATGTTCTAATTTAACTCTCCAAGTCAATAAGTAGGCCACTGAAAAATGCTTATTTCAAAATTTAAAAACAAAATGGCATTCTACAAGACTCTTCTTTTAACATTTTTGATCATTTTCATTGCTTCAGGCATCGTTGCCGGTAATAAATTATACCTATAACTCAATTTTCATTACTTCATTTGCTTTATTTTTAGTAAAATAACTAGGATGGTAGGATAATGTCATCTATATTAAAAGGCATGTGTTTTTGCAAAAGGAAAATTAATTTTATGAAATAGAATACAGTATTTTTGAAAAGTTAGAATTTCACAATTTCATATATTGTTCTTAATGAAAGTTTAATTATTGTTTCAGGAGAAATCGAATCCGATCAAAAATTGTGCTTTGCATCAAATTTTGTCCAACAACGTCAGAACGGTGTGACCAATTTTGTAAGAAAATTGGCCACCCTAGTGGAGGCTCATGTTTAGAAGGGAAGGGTTAATGTTGTTGTAACTTGCAATTTCGGAAGTTTTAATATAAAATAAATAATTTCTTCATATTTTGAATAAATTTAGCTGCAAACAAAGTGTCTTTAATTTTTATGAAAAAAGTAGAACAATCAAAAATGTAATTTCTTATTAAATATTTATTTCAATAATTTTTACTTAATAATTGCAATGAAAAACAAGTTATATTTAATTATTGTATTTAAATATTCTTTAATCAATAGTTGTCATCAGTTTTGTAATTATATTTACCTAACAAATTGACAAAAATAACTTCACCATGTTATAAAAAAGATATGCCATTAACTTTAATTAACAAAATATTTCTACTCCTTTAATGAAAAAGACGTGATATTTAGTTATTATTAAGACAGTTAATAGATCGTGATCTTTATGGGATTAAGAAAAGTGGTTT